GGCTGGAGTGCAGTGGCGCGATCTCAGCTCACTGCAAGCTCCCCCTCCCGGGATCATGCCATTCTCCTGCCTCAGCCTCCTGAGTAGCTGGGACTACAGGCGCCCGCCACCGCGCCCGGCTAATTTTTTTTGTACTTTTAGTAGAGACGGGGTTTCACTGTGGTCTCGATCTCCTGACCTTGTGATCCGCCCGCCTTAGCCTCCCAAAGTGCTGGGATTACAGGCGTGAGCCACCGCACCCGGCCTTATATCTGGACTTTTAATTTTAAAAAATAGAGATGGGGTCTTGCTATATTGGCCAGGTTGGTCTTGAACTCCTGGCCTCAAGCAATCCTCCCACCTCAGCCTCCCAAAGTGCTGAGATTACAGGCATGAGCCACCATGCCCAGCCTACAACAGCTTCCTAACTGGTCTCTATACCTCTAGGCTTTCCCCTCTCCAATCCAACCTCCGTACCAGTGATCCTTCTAAAATGTTAACTTGGTCACAACAGCTTGCTGCTTAAACTCTCAATGGATCTGCTGGATCTTCATAATTCAGGCCCTCAGTATGCTTAACAGCCCCTTTTTTGGCCACACCCAACCTACATCAGACATGATTAAGACTCCCACTTTTGGAGAATGTTTCTCCCTCTGCCCTGAACACAATTCCCTCTCCTCTTCATCTAATGAGGTGGTAGAACAGACCTTAGCTCCTCCTGCCTTCCCAAACTCTAGTATCTTTCACCTACTGTGCAAGCACTAGCCTAGTGTCCAACACATGGTAGATGCAAAATCAACATTTACATGGTAAGCAGCCAGAGGTACGACATTACTGGTATTAGATAGACACAGACTCTTTCTCCATCTGGTCTCTGGCCTCAATCTAGGATAGGGTCTTAATTTCTTTTGGGCCATAGACCACATTTTCTCCGTTCACTCTCTCAACTGACAAAATAATAATCAACCAACTCCTACTATATGCCAGGTACTGTTCCAAGCCCTGGGCATGCAGCACTGAACAAGACAGCAAGTTCCTTCTGGAATTTACATTCTAGTGGAGGGGAAAGAAGATAAACAACTAATACACATAATCAAGCCAGATAATTTCAAAGAGCAAACATGATCTGAAACCTGACACCTGAAAGATGAGTGATTCTGGCCTTAAGTATCTGGTAGGAAGTAGCCTGGACAGAGAGAACAATAAGTGCCAAGGCCCAGGTGTGGTTACAGCATAGTGGGGTCCAGGAGAAAGATATGAGATGAGAATAAAGGGAGTTCTGCATAAGACTTTGGAGATCTAAGCCCTCTGAGGCCCATTTACAGACTCTGCTCAAGAACCCCTGCTGAAGGGTTCTCAAAATACTTACTCTTTCACTTGCACAGTGGTGGCGTAGTTGGAGCAGGCACTCTCCACGGACACAGAGAAGCCCCGCCTGCCTTCAGTGGTGGCTGGCATGGAGATGAGCGTGACAGAGTAGGGCAGCTGGTCCTGAACAGACTCTGTGGAGAGTCTCTCAAACATGGGTGCCAGCACCACCTCATTGTGGCACTTCCCACTGGGGAGAGGGCACAGGGGGGAGTATGATGCTAGAGTCCCATGCAGAAGCCCCCCAGCAACCACTGCACCATGTGGCTTTAAGCAACAGTACCTATAGTCTCACTACCACCCTCTTTGTCATGATTCTAGCTGGCTGCTCAGAATGAGGAGCCTGGGTTCTCAGGGTGGGCTGGGACTGGGGGTGCTGAGCTGGATCTGCAGCAAGTGGTATATTTGGAAGAACATTGGCCTGGGTTGGGGTGAGATGGCCTGGGTTCTCTTCACTCTGCCTTTGACTCACAATGAGAACCTTGCCCTTGTACTATTCTATTCCATGAGCCCCAGGCTGACTTCTTTCATCAACCAAGGTGGTTGGACAGGGTGAGCTCTAAGGGGTCTTTGACTTTAATGTTCTGGGATCCTCCTTGAAGGTGCCTCCCACTGGGAGGATTGCAGGGCAGAGTGAAGACATTTTCAAGGTAGGTAAGAAAAAAGGGTAGAGACATGTGTAAATCATTCTGCTTACAAGTTAAAGAGCTGGTTAAGAGCACTGCTGTGATAGGAATCCAATGCTCTGACTACACTAACACTCTTTCTGCCCAACTCACCCTGCCACCGTCCCTCCCCCAGGCCACTCTTATATGGGAGAGGATAGACAAAGGACTACCATCTTACCAGTAGAGGGTGGCGTGCTGCACCAGTGCATATGCATCCCCATCCTCGATGATCACCTTGCAGCTCATACAGGCAAAGCACTCTGGGTGGTACTTGAACTCCCCAGCCACCTGTGAGCAGGTGGGGAGAAGGATGCACAAAGGGAGGAAGGAAGTGAGTTATCACTGTTGCTGGAGTGAGGACAGGGGTAGGTGAATGACCTCCAATCAAGGCCCCAGTCAAAATCCACTCTTTCACTCTCTGCCCTAGAGCTTCCAACGAAAGTGTCAGATTGGTACCTCCTGTCATTTCTGAGACTGCACAAAACTGTTTTCGTTTCAGTTATGAGAACAAGTCCCCAGAAGTAATCATCCCCACTAAAAAAGATCACAGTTCCTCCAATACAGAGTTAGCAAGTCTGTGACTATGCTTAAAGTCCTGTGTCCAGAGCGGGTATAAGAGGTAGCACCTCTCTCTGCCAGCCCATTCCAGAGTCTCCTTTTCTTATTCCCTGAACACAACCTAGGTATATCCTCCTTTCAGCCTATAACACTCTCCTTTGAGGTCCTTATCCAACTATACTGTGTCTCCTCTCTGCCTGCCTCTCCTCCCACTCCCAACATTAAACTATTAAGTCTTTGAGGGAAAGATCTTACCTTTCACTTAATAGGTGCTCAGCTGATACCTGCTGGTTGAATGAATGAATGAATAAAGGGAGATGCCCTGGCTGATGGAAAGACCAAAAGATGAACAGCCACGGGGAACTGGAAGCACTGTCAATGGACTGAACTGGAAGCACTGTCAATGGACTCTGAAGACCAAGAGGGGCAGATATGAAGGGACTCACTCACCATAAAAGGCCCTGTCATCAGCAGGGAGCACCCATGACAGAACTCCCCAAACTTCCCCCAGTAGTCCTTGGGGCAGTAGAGCTTCCCATCTTTCTCGTAGTACCAGTTGGTGAGGGAATCCTGGCATTCTGAACACCTGAAAGGCAAGACAAGAACTGAAATTCTCCTGGATCCCTGGAACCGGGCCACATAGGCTGTCCTTGGCTCCTAGGTCTGACAACAAAATAGACAGTCCTCTTTGATCCAAAGCCAAGATGGGGGAAAGCTACAGCCTTGTGCTATCTCCCCAAGGGAAGCTGGTTCAGAGTGAACAAGGCCCCAGAAACCAGCTCTGTGTTGCCTGCCTCAGTGGACAGACTAGTGTTTCACAACCTCTTTGGGTCTTGGAGCCCTCTGAGAATTTGATAAAAGCCAAGAAGCCTCCCTTAGAAAAATGCACATATAAGGAAGATGTGTATATAATTTAGGTGGGGGGGTGTGTGTGTATATAAAGGATTCTCTGAAACCTATTTATGGCACCAGTTAAGGACCTCTGGTCTTGACAGATATTTCAATGAACAAAAGCAGTTTGATCATCTCCACTCCTCAAAACTGACCCACCACCAACAGCGTTACCAATGTAATGTTCTTGCCAAAAATATGTTAAGTATAAAAAAACTGATCAGGCAAATCTAGAATGTGGGTTATTCTATAAGATAACTGGTCTTGACTCTTCTAAAAAGTCATGGGGAGAAGAAAAGGCACAGATTTAAAAAAGCCTAGAGACACAGCAACCAAATATGATGCCTACACCTTGGATTCAAATTTAGAATAAAAAAGGCAACAGCCATGAACATTTTTTGGAACTGAGGAAATCTGGATTTGGACTATAATATTATATTGTAAAATTACTGTGAATTTTCTTAGATGTGATGATATTTGACTTATATAGGAGAATTCTTAGGAGAAACATATTGAACTATTTAAGGGTAAAAGTCAAGATGCATTTAAGTTACTCTGAAATAGTTCAACAAAAATAAATAAATGAAAGTATATAGACAGAGGGAGAGAGAGACACAAAGTGGCATAACATTAACAAATGATGAATCTATGTGAAAGGTATGTAGGTGTTATTTGAACTACATTTTCAACTTTTTTACATATTTGAAATTTTTTTCAAAATAAAATATTGGGGAAGAAACCCAACATTCTATTAGCAACGTGTAAGATGTATATGTTAGATCCACAGCTTGCTGGGCGGGGTGGCTGATGCCTGTAATCCCAGCACTTTGGGAAGCTAAGATGGGAGGATCACTTGAGACCAGCCTGAGCAACATAGTAAGACCCCGTCTCTTAAAAAAAAAAAAAAAAAAAAATCCATAGCTCCCTTCTCCCCTAATCACCTGGCTATGAAGTCCCACCTCTCAAAAGTCAGGTGTGTTGTCAGGACTTACCTGCACAACCTCCTCCTTCCTTCTGAGCTTCCCAACACACACAGCTAAGAGCTCATTGGCCTGCTGAGCCCACGCCATTTCTTTCCTTCTAGTTCCTTCTTTTCCCTATTCTCGTTGTCAAGGCCTTCCACCTTCCACAGTGGCCATATCGTTGTTTCCAAGAGGTTTCAACATTGCTTGGGTTGAATCTTGATCCTGCCACTTACTAGTTACATCATCTTGGGCAAGATATTTTACTTACTTCTCTGGCCTAGTTTCCTCATCTATAAAATGAACTGCTGTGAAAATTAAAGGAAATAATATGTATTAAAAATATAGAGAGCAGCTGGGCACAGTGGCTCATGCTTGTAATCCCAGCACTTTGGGAGGCCGAGGCAGGTGGATCACTTGAAGTCAGGAGTTCGAGACCAGCCTGGCCAATATGGTGAAACCCGGTCTCTACTAAAAATACAAAAAATTAGCCGGGCATGGTGGCACGAACCTGTAATCCCAGCTTCTCGGGAGGCTGAGGCAGGAGAATCGCTGGAACCCAGGAGGTGGAGGTTGTAGTGAGCCAAGATCATGCTACTGCACTCCAGCCTGGGTGACAGAGCCAGACTCCGTCTCAAAAAAAATTATGGATAGATAGACAGAGATAGCTTATATAAAAGACCTAATATAGGCTGGGCATGGTGGCTCACACCTGTAATCCCAGCACTTTGGGAGGCTGAGGCAGGCAGATCACAAGGTCAGGAGTTTTGAGACTAGCCTGGCCAACATAGTGAAATCCTATCTCTACTAAAAATACAAAAATTAGCCAGTCATGGTGGCTTGCGCTTGTAGTCCCAGCTACTCAGAAGGCTGAGGCAAGAGAATTGCTTGAACCTGGGAGGCAGAGGTTGTGGTGATCCGAGACTGCACCACTGCACTCCAGCCTGGACAACAAAGCGAGACTCCGTCTCAAAAAAAAAAAAAAAAAAAAAAAAAGACCAAATATAGTAGAAACTCAGTATGTGTTAACTTTTATTAAAGATGATAATGACAATGTAATGGCAGTTCACATTATCAGCCACTTCCTGTCACTAGCTGGACAACTTCTCTTAGTAGCTTTCTCTCATTGAAAACAACTAATAGCATCCCATTATTACAAAGAGCCAATGTGAAGAGGAAATAAGCTAATGTATGAGAGAAAGTCTTTTGCCAGGCAAGTGCATTATTATAACTTGCTAAGCACTGCAGATATAAAAGATAAATACACAGGGCACCCTACTTCACTTTTCGTGAGCTTATGAAGAGTTGAGGAAGAGAAAGTCTAAATAAAATTCAACAATGCAAGGTGAGAGGACACAATGAGTTCTACTACTTCTGAGCAATGCAGGAGGTAGAGAAGAGGGGCAGGAATGAGTTGAAGCAGCTGAGCTAGGAAGTCTAGAGAAGCAAGTCCCTGAGAATTCCTTTATCCTTCTGGAGTGGCCAATTCCCCCCTGGGTGCTCAACAAACACTGATGGCTATTTTTACCCTATAGCTTTTCCTACTTGTCTTATGGAAGGGGAACTTCAGGGTCTAGAGGGCTGGGTATGGCATGAAGAGTATGGCTGTGAAGTGTCTAAAAACTGCACAGTGAGGATGTAGGCAGAGGGGAAGACTGTTCTTGGTATGTGGCTCACACTCCTCTCAATGTAAGATACATGTGGGATGAGCTCTAAATGAGGAGGAGAGAGATATGGGTTCAAGTTCTTGGGTGCTAACATAGCCTTGGACAAGCCCCTTTCCCTCTCTGGGTTGTTTCCCCACCTGTGAAACAAGGGGACACATAATACCCTGGGTCCCCTTAACTCTGTGCATATCTGTGTTTTTCCCTAGATGATCTGAGGTTCCACTCTTAGTACCACCATTTACCACCTAAGTGATCTTGGGCTAGCCCCTTCACTTCTCATTTGTGAAATGGCAATGTCATCACCTACTTTCAAGGTAGCAGTGAGGATTTTTTCTTTTTTTTTTTTGAGATGGAGTTTTGCTGTTATCACCCAGGCTGGAGTGCAGTGGCTCGATCTCAGCTCACTGCAACCTCTGCCTCCCGAGGTCAAGTGATTTTCCTGCCTCAGCCTCCTGAGTAGCTGGGATTACTGGCGCAGGCCACCACCACACCCAGCTAATTTTTCTATTTTTAGTAGAGATGGAGTTTCCCTGTGTTGGAGAGGCTGGTCTCGAACTCCTGACCTCAAGTGATCCGCCCCCGCCCGCCTTGGCCTCCCAAAGTGTTGGGCTTACAGGCGTGAGCCACTGTGCCTGGCCTGCAGCGAGGATTAAATGTGGTTCTGAAGAACTATGGGGTGCCCAACAGAGGGCTGGCAGTAGGAGCAGGGGCTTCCTTCTTGCCTCCCGTCTTCTGACTTAGAAGTTCCGGGGCAACCAGCTTTCTTCTTCACTAGACTGTTAGTTCCCTGAGGATAAAAACAGCATCCCACTTACTCTTGTTGGACTCAGCACCAAGCAAAGGACCTGGAAGAGCAAAGCTTTAACAAATGTTTCCAAACCAAAAATGGTAGGAGTGGCAAGAACCAGTAGCCCAGGTGGGGGAGCACAAGGGTTCCATGGCTCATGGCCACCAGGTCCTTTTTTTCTTCTGTGTGCAGACATATTTGCACCCAAATGCAGGCCTGGGCTTTGTTACGCCCTTGCAATGGTATGTACGCCGCAGGGCATGGGAGCACCAAAACACACCCTCCTTTCCATTGCCAATATCCTGCTTTTGTTTGCTGCAAGTAGCTCTGGCCAGGCCCAGGAGAGGGAGCAGGGAGAGAAACAAGTGCAGGCATGCAGGAGACAGCCAGGCCAGCCTGCTGGGAAGAACACCTGGCTAGAGAGCAACATCACCAGTCCACACATCTGTGTCAAGGAATGCCTTTAAAGGGCACAGCCAGCTACATGGCCAAAACTGCCACAGATGTCTCTGAAGAACTGGAACGTGAACAGCTGATAGGACTGGGTATGGGTCCCTAAGCTGTGTTTTGCCACAGAACACAACTGGGTTCTTGGACCACTTAAGAAGTTGCCATGGTAGAGTTCAGAGTTCTAGCTTAGCTATCAATTAACAGCTACTATTTATTGAATGCCAACCATAATCCAGGTCCTATATGAGGTACCTTATTTATATTATCTCTAATCCTGACAACCCTACAAGGTAGTAGGATTATCCCTATTTTATAGAAGACTGAAAAGCAGAGTTAAAGTCAAATAATTCTGCAAAGTTGCCCAATACATAATTGATGGAGCTGGAATGTGAAGCTATGTGTGCTTGGCTACAAAGCCGCATCCACTGTACTATGTCACTGGACTGAGACAGCACATCTCTCAACAGCTGAGCCTCAGGATTCTCACCTGTGAAAATAAGGAGGCTGGAGGCCTGACAGTTCAAGACCCTTTGAGTGTTAACACTTCATGATGCTTCTCCTTTACTCCAAGTACTGAATGTTAAATGGCACAATTCTCCTCCTTCATATACTTCACAGTGTTCAATTCCCCAGCAGTCTCTGTTCTTTTAAGCAAAGAATCCAGAACATACTCTGGAACTGTAAGGTGCTACTCAAACATGTTCCACCTTAGATTCTTAGAGGCCATGGACCCTATACGTTCTTCCCAAAGCCAAGGCTGTTTTTCTACCTTTCAGCTTTTGAAAGTTTCAAGTGAAAGTCAAAATCTGCCCTGGCTGTAGGTAAAAGAGTACCCAGCTGGGAGGTGGTGAAGCTGAGGTCTGAACCAGTCATCCCACTGTCCTGAGGAGCCAGAGTGAATTGAGCTGAAATCCTCAGGTCAGGGGAGATCACCTAGAAGCCTACATACGCTGAGGGTACGCCTAAAGACAACCTCCAAAACTCATCTTCCAAAACTATTAGAGGGGTTCCAAGGGCTTGGGCAGATACAAAGTGCACAGAACCCTGGTGGTCAGTTCAGTGGGCCAACCCAGATCCACACAGAGACCTTTTGAGTCAGCAGAGAACACATGAGTTTTTTTAAAAAAGATAATCAGTTGAGATTTTATCTTTCAAGACCTGGATCCATATTCCTTCTCTGCCATTTACTATCTGTGTCACCTAAGGCCAGTTACTTCATGACTCTGAGCCTCAGTTTCCTCACTTGTACACTGCTGATAGGATCTTATGGGGTTATGAGAATTAAATTATGTACAGATGTCCTGCATGATGCCTGGCTCACAGCAGGTAGCCAGTAAGTATTCATTTATTTCCCTCCCCAATTTGAGAACGCCAAGGGCAAATGCAGACAGACCCCTTTTTCTCCTATGCCCAGCAATATGGACCTGCTTCTCAGCCCAGAATGAGACAGATTTCTGTAAGTAAGGTCCTAAAATGAATTATTTCTCTATTCAATTAGAAATCAACATTTTTTTTTAAGAGACAAGAGTCTTACTCTGTCACCCAGACTGGAGTGCAGTGGCACAATCATTGCTCACTATAGTCTGACACCCCAGGCTCAAGAGATCCTCCTGCCTCAGCCTCCTGAGTAGCTGGGACTACAGGTGCACACCACCATGCCTGGCTAATTTTTTATTTTTTGTGGAGACAGGGTCTCCCTATGTTGCCCAAGCTGGTCTTAAACTCCTGGACTCAAGTGATCCTCCAGCCTTGGCCTCCCAAAGTGCTGGGGTTACAGGAAGGAGCCACCACACCCAGCTGAAATCAACTGTTTTAATAGATTCCTAACAATTAGGAAATAGTTACTGTGCATCTACGATGTGTAAGAACAAGCAGGCAAGGTGCTGTGCTGAGAGAAGCCAAGTGAGATAAGACAGAGACCCAGCCCTCACTCACATCCAGATTCTTCAGACAAAAATGTTTACAGGTAAATTCTCAACCTTATGGGGTAAGAGAACCAGTCATTACTGCAGTGGATTTACACATGTTAAAGCATAAGCCCTCCCATGTCCTGATGAAGACCTGGCTGGATGGTCATCCCTTAACCTCCCGGTGAGCAGCCAGTTGTAGAGAAGCTTCTTTCAGCCCCCAGCCTCTGAATTGACTGGGCTGGAAAGAGAGAAAAGGAAGCTCCCTCCACTATAGCCTGAGGGCACCTGGAGAGCATCACAATTGGGGATGCCAACTTTTCCCCAGGGCCCAGAAGGGCAGATATGACAGGGGCCTAGAGAGACTCTGTTCCATAAGAGCTCAGTCAAAAATCCCTTTATTACTCCTCCTTCCTGCAGATCCTGTAGACTGAAACAGTCTGACAATTAAGCTGTAAGTATTATGGAGTATGTTATTATTGTTTTAAAAAATTAACCAAACACATAATGAAGCCTATGAACAGCAAGAAATAAGTGTTGCTAGAGTGCACTGATTCAGTTCCAACCAAAAACCAGGAAGACTGTAGTTTCAAGTAATTTGTGTAGTTGTACTGCAGTTAAAGACAGGGCCTCCATTATTTGGCAAATAATGGAAAAGAGCTTGTGTGCCTTTGAGGAGCCACATAGAAGTTGCAGAGTTGGGAACCACTCACCTGATCTAAGTCCTTCATTTTTCAGATAAGGAGAAAAAGAGTCCCGGAGGACCTAAGGCACCTGCCAAATGTTACTGTGAAGCTGGGCAGAGCTATGCATAATTATTTCCCTTTAAACATGGATTGCTTTGGAACACAAAGATTAATTTGTTTTCTTCAAGAGATAACGTGTAAACCCAAGCTCATTAAATCAGTATTGGATATTAAGTGCAATTCTATAAAAAGAAAAATGCTTTAAAGATGTCCGACAAAAACCACTCCCTAATTTACCTCTTTTGTAAATTCCAATTTGAGGTATTTTCTTACTTGGAAGTACAGTGGTAATTGCATCTCACTCCTCACGTTAGTGTGGGTAGGAAAGACAGTGCATTCTCCACTGAGTATGTTTGGCCTATCAGGCAGAGGTGTATGGGACACAGAAGTTGTATTCTTCATTCCCTTGCTCCCTCTTTCTCCTTCACATGTCACGCCTGATCATGTCCCCGTGGAATCTGGTTGCGTCACTTTCCTTGCAACCACAGCCCCACAACTCCTATAGATTTTGTACTCCCCCAGAGGCCAAGGATCAAGGACTTAATTTGTTTCACAGAATCCAGCAAGGACCCTGTTCAGGAGCCCAAGAAGTCTGGCTTCTACTTTCTGCCAGGGACGAAACTGAGGCCCAAAGAGGAGCCCTTGAAGATACCCTATAATAAAAGACAGAGGGGCTAATGGCAGAAAGAGTTTTCTCACCAGGTAGTGATGTGGCAATGGATTGACACCTGGGAGAGCAGAGGGTCTGGGTGGCCCCTCCCTGGGGGAAAAGAGCCCTGTGTGCCACCTATCTCTTCAGAAGTGACTTCAGGAAAGTGGCCTCTTATATGGGGGAGGGGAGAGTGCTACAGAAAGTCAGTCAGAACCCCCCAGACTCTAGCTGGGCAAACGGAGCTTGGGGGCGGGGGGGCAAGGTGATCAGGTTCTCCAGAAAGGCTGGGGCAGAACAAGACAAAGGGCAGGTGGACTTGGGTGGCATTGGTGGCCTGGCCCTTAAAGGTTCAGGTGGAGAGTTCATTATCTGCTCTAGTTCCACCTCCTGAGAAGTTGTGTCCTCCCTGGGTTCCCTGCCTCTCCAAGGGTAAAAGGGGTATAGTTTCTGGCTCCTAAAGGAACAACCCTTCCCCTAAGCGGCCTTCCCAGGATTAAAAGTAAGAGAAATTAATGAGGACCTGAAATGTGACTACTTCAACACTTGGCATCTTAATTCCGCATGGTAAAAGCTTTCTCCTAAAGTCAAGATCAATTTCCATTGGCTCTTTAGAAAACAATATCAGCCATACCTTCAACAAGTCAGGCAAACTATCCCTTTTTCTACTCTCTGCTAGGAAAGGAAAACAAACCTGATAATTTCCTCTCTACTAGGAGAAGAAAACAAACCTGCAGCCCCCGAAGAATGAGAGAAAGTCAGGAAGACAGAAAAAGCTGCCCAGTGAGGCTCCATATGTTAACTTTGTTGAAACTGGTTGCCTCATCTGTAAAATGGGGATATATAATCTCTTTAGGCTGTTGAGAGATTAAAGGATAAAGTGTCCAGCAGGGCGCTTGGTAGAGTCAGCATTGAGGACCAGTTCCCGTCCCCCTCCCCCCAGTCCAGACACCTCCCACCACTCTACCAGGGTCCAGTCATTCCACGAAACCACATGGTACACTGCTTTTCTGCCCAGGGCCTGGCCACCTGACTAGTATCCCGGCAGCAAGATCTGGGCACTGGACCTAGTTTAGGGAAGCCAGAAGGGAAAAGTCGACAAGGACCACTGGTGAGGGGGAGGCAGCCTTTTTGGAACAACAGGCTGCTCCCAAAGAATGAAAACAAGCCCCACCCTAGTCTGGAATGGCTCCATTCAGAAGGGACCTAGAGGGCCAGAATCCCCCTGGGGAGTTTCTATGGGAGGTGGAGTGGGGCAATGAGCAAAGAAAGCCAGGTTGGAGGTAGAGTTTCCACATCTCCCTTTGAGAAGCCCCAGAGAGAGGCTCGTGGAGGTACTCAGGCCTAGGGACTGAGGAGGTGTGGGGGCTGGCCCAGCAGCTCAGGAACACTCCAAAGTCCATTGCTCCAGTCTCAGAAGCACTGGCCCAGGTCTTTCCCCAGCAACTACATTCACCTGGGAGCTCAGAAGCCCCTCAAGGTCAGAGGCTAATGTGCCTGCCATTAAGAGAACAAATGTTTATAAGGTACCTATTGTGTACCAGGCTACCCACACCCAGGACTTGCCAGTTTCCACAGTTTGGCAAAACCTGCCCATCCTGCTTGTTGGGACAAATTTCTGGGCAGGCAGCATGGCCCGCAGGTAAGACATGTGAGAGCTAGAAACAGCACTCTATCTGTGCTATTCCCCCTGGAAGCAGTAACACCTAGAAGGGGCAGGTCAGTGGCATCTTTTGGAGGCTCTTTCAGGTTTGCCTGGGATGGAAGAGGAGCTGGAGCTCCCTAAGAAGTTCCTTCTGGGTATATCCCTCCCCTCACCACTTCCAGGACATAATGGGGGTACCTCACAAGGCCGATTCTGCTTGGGTATAACCTCTCCTGGCTTCTGCCTGGCAGAACCGATGGTAAAGGACTAAGTGAGAAGGAGATTTCGGGAGACCACCCTCTTCTCAGGACCAGGGGCCAGGAGAGACAGAGAGGGGAACTCGGAGACCAACTCACCGAAATGGGTCTCTGGAGGTGAAGTAAGCCGGGACTGACAAGTAACTCCCCATCTTCTTCCCACACCAGATAAACAGGCTCAGCTGCAAATCCGTCTATGAGTGCCTCGGGCCGGCTGTAGATGGCCACCATGACAGGCCCAGGGCTCCCAACACCTCTGGCTGCAGGCAGGCTGCCCTGAGTTCACCTCTCCCTCCGGAGCAGCTGGAGGAGCCTGAGGACTCCAGGCCACTTGCCCCCCAGCAGATTCCCACAGGGGCTCATGGCTGGGATGGCTCCTCCCTAGTTCTTAGAAGCTCAGGCGGCCCCTCTGGCCTCGGAGAAAACGACCTCTTTGAGGAGGCTACATACACACTGGCATTCTTGAGCAAGGGCCGGTGACTAGCTAAGAAAGAAGCGCTGCTGTCAAGTTAGCCTTCTTCTTCAGTCCCACCCCTGAATGAGGGAGGGAGGGAGGAAGAGGAGGAGCTCCCGCAGAACCGAGGTGTGTGGTTGGAGCAGCTGTTAGGAAACAGACCTTGCAGGCAAGGGGTGGAGCTGGGCTGGATCGAGGCTGCAGGCAGGCGCTGCAGACAATAACTGGGACCGACTGAGCGTCCATCCTGAGCTCAGGGAAGGGCAAGGCAGGATACAGGGTGAACATATCTGGCCCCAGATGTCCCGCAGAGGAGCTGCCTACAGGACAGTAATTCTGCTTGGAGGTGAAAAAAAAAAAAAAAAAGCAGAGGATGCCAGGTCCAGGAAGAGCCACACCAGACAGAGGGACCTCTGGTAGGAGAGGCAGGTCCAGAGAGCCATCCTCGCTCCGAGCTGACATCTGTTCTGTCCTGGCACTAGGGCTCCCATTCATTCCCTCCCTCTGCCTCGCCTGGGGACAGCCTCAAGAGCTAACCAATGGGAGGTGACACTTCCACTCCAGGGCAGGGCTGTGTTGCAAATAAGGAAACGAGTCCCAGGGTATTAATCTACACCTGATGTGTCTCCATGTGGTAAACACTATATGCACTCTTATTTCTCTGAGACAGGAATTATTCCCACTCTACAGACAAGGAAAGTGAGGTACAGAGAGATTACGTAACTCAAGGTCAAAAAGGGAGTCAGTGGCAGGCCTGGGATTTAAATGTAGGCCCATGTGAGTTGGAGTAGGCCCCCAGAGCTGGAGTTCTCCCACTACCAGGCTTCATTCTGGCTCTTCAAGGAGAAAAATCTTTTCCAAAGCCCTCTGCAAATAGGATGGAGCCCAGGTTACTCTCATTCACTCACTATTCACTGGCTGTTCACACACAGAACACCATCCACTGGCCTCTGTGGACAGTAGAACTTCTTCTACTTGTCCAATGATAACCATGCTTTTCAAACTGAAAAATGGGGCGTGAGGGAGAAGGCGGCCTGGGGTGCCAAAAGGGATTGATAAGCCTAAGTATCTGGAATGGGAGCCCGCCTGAAGAGCCCCAGTTGTGATGATGACCAAACCAGAGCTTACCACGGAGAAAGCCCTTGTCTCCCTGCCTGCAGGATTGTAAAGGAAAAAGCAAGGCTGCTGGAGAAAATTAGAATACTAGGACCTCACTATTGGATTTGGGGCAGTGACATCAGCTCTCCCTCATTAGGCACACACCTCTCACCATTGTAAAGGGCCAGAAGTCACCCTGCAGCTTCTATGTCTTACTGTGAACCATGGCAGCAAAGTCTGATAAAGATGGTAGATGGGGTTACAAAGGAGCCTTTTCCCATTCCACCAACGGGGCACAGGGACAACAATGCATGAGATAAGAGCACATGGGTTTGAATACTGATAATAAGCTACCATTTATTGAGCAGTTAATATGTTCTAGGCCCTGTGTTAAGTGCTTAGCATCTATTATCCATCATATTTAAATTGCCAGTATATGGGGTAAATGTCATCAGCCTCATTCAACAGATTAGGAAATAGGTTCTGAGGGGTTATGTCACTATCCTCAAGACAAATAGCTGGTAAGTGGTGAGGGTGGGTTTTTTTTTTTTGAGTCAGGGTCTCTCTCTGTCACTCAGGCTGGAATGCAGTGGTGCCATCATGGCTCACTACAATCTCAACCTTGACCTTCTGGACTCAAGTGATCCTCTCACCTCAGCCTCCAGAGTAGCTGGGACGACAGATGCATGCCATCACGCCCAGCTGCAAGGCTGGGTTTCAAACCTGGTACATATGTATGGCTCTAGAGCACAGGTCAAGGCACTTTTCCTGTAAAGGGCCAGAGAACAAATATCTTAGGCTCTGCAGGCCATACAGATTCTGTTGTGACTACTCAGTTGTGTCATTACAGAGCAAAAGCAGCCATATATAAAACATAAACTAAGGGACATGGTTGTGTTCCAATAGATATTTACTTATGGAAAGATTTTTTTTTTTTTT